TTGTAGTTAGATAGATTATTCTTATTTTCTTTATTTTTATTTGACAGTATAGTTTTTGCCTAAACATAGCACATACCGAACCCTACCGAAAACGTAACTCTAAAACCGTGATACAAACCGAACCGTGAGTAAGTTGAACCGTTCCACCCCTAGCGCTGACTAGCAGCTACTCTACTCTACTCGTTTTTCTAATTTATTAAAAAACTGGCTATGTGTACTGTGCTAGACTAACTGAGACTTGTCAACGCACTTGTATACTGTTGCCCTCTTGTTAGTCTGCTTGCTTCTATTGTTCTCCTCATTTGTAAGTCGCTTTGGATAAAATCGTCTGCTAAATGATTAAATGTAAATTGATACAAGGTCTTATGCAAATTGCCCCTAAGTCAAATTGTGAATTGTAAAATGAATTGTAGGACTGTAGGCTAGTGACAGGCTCATGTTCAATGGCATGGAAATAAAACAAGGAACATATTGACTTCTAAATCTTTTAAAGTTTGTCTGCTCCAGTTATGTAATGTTTTATTATTTAGGGGATATTTCTTTAGATTTTTTATTTAAAATCAGAGCATAATATCAAGAGTCTCATGACCTACATTTTGCAATTCACTGCAATCTTGTGTGCTGTTCTTAAGTACACAAATGAAATGAGTTGATTAAATTACTGTGTAGAATTACCACCAATAGTGAATAAAATGGTTGTCTATGGTATTTACACAAGAGAGTAGTAGGAAAACAACATGCAAGTCTTAGTTTATTGGAAACATGCTGATAACTTGTATATAAGAAAAAATGTCATTAGCTGTGAAGCATGTAAACCTCTTATTCAGAATAAGCTTAATCAGAATACACACCATAAGCAGAAAATCATGTTCGTTGAAATAAAACTGACCTGCTGGGGTTATGAGCACCGTTATTGTTCAGAGAGTGTGTCGAGTATCGTATAGAGTCTCCTCGGCCCCCTGCTTCTGCGAGCCAGGACTACCAAACAAACCATGACACCAGTGTGTTAAGAAAAGTCTTTATGAAGCGTATAAAGATTTACAGAGAGAATTAAACTGAAACCTCATATTTGCTGAGTTCTCCTCTCAGTCTTTCCATGTTTTGTGCCGTCTGAGTGATCTGAGGTGCCAAACTGGCAGGATCTCCCGTCTGAGGGTTCTTTTCATAGACATCTTTCATTTTACCCAGAGCCTCACTGCACAGAGATATACATATATTTATTTAAGATAGCAAGCGCTATCTTGATCGTAACAGAGAAAGACAAAGAACAAACGGATACGGTTACTTGTGGCACTCAACACCACTGATTCCTCAGAGACCTGACGAGCTTAGTAAACAAAGCCCAGACCTCGGCAACCCTGTGGATTCAGCTGTGGCCGGTGGTCATGGCGATAGTTGTCGGAGAAACGGCATGGCTGGCGACTCACCTCTGATCCATTTCCTTCTGCAGCTCCTTGCTGATGTCATCGATCTTCAGCTGCAAGCGTTTCCTGCGCTGCTCAGGAGGAAGATGGGTGAAGCCCTCTGTGTCCACAGGCTGAGGAGATGGGCAGGGAGATAGTGTCACTCAAAGAGATTCACACAAACAAACAAACAGCCACCCCTCCAACACCACAAGCCAAGCAGTGACAGGCGTGAACCAGAGACCCCACAGTGAGACTTCAGGTTTGCAGAAGGAAAAGCTGAACTGTAGCTGTAGTTTACTCAAAGGAACGGTCTGGGTTAAATAAAATTGCACTTTTTGAACACAATCTGTGGCATGTTGTCGATTACCACAGACAGTCATTTTTTTAAATGGATCTATTTTGAAGAAGGAATGCGAAGCTAATATTTGTTACATGGAATATTCAGTCAAATGTTTCATATTTGCACAAGTAAAAAAAAAAATCCTTTCAGATTAGGACTATTGTTCTAGGCGTATGAAGTTCTGGTTATGCTCTATTATTATAATTGACACTTCGCAGGGAGTTTGACTGACAGGCAATCGGACTGATCATAACGCCGAACCTGCCATTTTTGTCTGACAGGAGATTAGATTAACGTTTATGGACTTGAACTTGAAAAATGGTGTGTATTGACGTCTTTCTGCGGTTGAAACAAGATACCTTCGGATGTTCATTCATGTTCATTTCATGCTATAACTAGTAAATATAAAAAGATGATCGGTTCACGTGCCGCTTGAACTGAGGCGCTACAGCGATCTGTCACGACACATTAAAGAGCCACAAAACGGTATTTATGGTTTAAATTTCTTTTTAAAAAAAAGACAAAAATGTGAAAGCTGAGACCTTGTTTCATACCAGAAGTAACCTGCTCTGTCTTGTCTGTCGGTGCGTTGTCAGTTTTCTGTTTGCGCCGCAATGTATTTTTCACTGTGTGAGAACATTGCATGAGAGCGGCATGGCTTGTTGGACATAGGAACAGTAACGAAGTGGAGTGGGTCTTTGCGAAGGGTCAATTGATGTGTACAGAGTTTGCTCCATGTAAATAGTGCGTGACATGGGTTATTTATCATTGCATAGAAAAGTAGAATTTAGTTTTGATGCAAGGGCTTGGCATATGTGTACAACCGAAATCACAGTCTTTTTAAGTATACCTGAAAACTCGTGATCAACACCAGCGCAATAGAACGTTTGGGCCTAAAACCTAGTTTCTATCAGCATAGTACTCACGGGGCCAGATTTTTCTAACGGTGCGCATTAATTTTTCTGCGCTAGTTAGTTTGTTCACAAAGTGGCAACATCAGCCCATTGTTTCATGGTTGAAAGAGAAACAGGCGACACGTTGACAGATCCTTGTGGTGTGAGGGGCTTAAAAGATACCTGAAACTCTAGTTAAACAAATACAAAGACTGACAAATAGTGCAGACACTAGACTGGGATTAAACTAGCGTCAAATGCTTGTTTGTGCATGCGTTTGCTTCAAAACTGAAGTATACTTTGGACATTAATGTGTTTACTGGCTTTAGATTTTGAGGTTGGATATTACTTTGAGCAGCCGGGGTTGTTAACAACACTAGCCTAATGCTAATACATGCTAACAATGTTAAAATAATGGCTATACTATCAAAAATAACAGTTTCATATTTTTAGCATTTATTCACATAGTGCTGTAGACTTGCCCCATAGACATCCGCCGGACATTTACAAACCCGAGAGACAAATGTGGTCAATAGAGTTAAAGGTCCATTTAACCTGGAATATTCCTTTGAGTAACCCTCAATTAATTTAAACCACATGCAAAGATTTATCAACGCAACTTTAAAACATGTCCAATACAGAACACTATAACAGCCTGGCTTCAGCATCAGTGCATAGATTCTTTGCTTTGCAGTGTCTCACCCTGGAATGGCTTGTCACTGTTTAAAAGCCATGATGGATAGTGTACTGTAAATTAACCCAGAGGCTGCAGTGCCTTTCGTTGAAAATGGCCACCTCTACAATAGCGAATTATAGAAAATCTATCATTATCTGTGGAGGTGGTCATATGTGAAATCCTCACAGACAGAAAATGATCTGATAAAAACAGAGGGAGTGAAATATACATGTACGGCCCACACCACTTTAAAAAGATTACCGTGAGCTTTTCTGGAGTAAACTGAGGAAGAGAGATATAAACAGACAGTGTTTTATAAGCTGGCATCACACTAGCTGATTTCTTAGTGTCTCTCATGCAGGTCACTTCGCTTTTGTCCAGAACCACATCTCACAAAAGCAGCTCTGACCTCAGTTACAAACACTAGTTTTTCAGAGTTTCAGCTTTTTGGGTGACTTGCTTCTCCATTAATTCAACTGTAGGATCCTGAAGTATCAATGCAATATCATGGGAAAAAGAATCATGATTCATGATTGTATTGGCACAGCCCTAGTTAGTTTGCAGGACCCATGTGTCAGTGAACGTTAAGCTCTGATTCACCAAACGGATTCACTGACTTGCTATTGTCCTCTTCAGATCTCATCCAAACAGCACAAATGCTGACTGTCGACTGTGATTGTGTAAACATGCATTTTTCTGGGGCCCTAAACTTACACGACTAATAAAATAAGAATGCAGAAGCAGAACAGTCTATTTTTATTCAAAGTAAGTCATGTTTTCACAGAAGCTGACAAGCGCTGCCGGCACACACGAGTATACTACAAGCCCCAGAGGGACAAACACACATCACACTGACTTAAAGGACAAAGTTACTGCATGCACTACATTCTAATTCGCTCTGACAACTTGTTACATTTGCATGGTGCTCCTGTTTTTATTTCAAGAAGCTTTATGTTGATTGCTACATATATAGGACACTGAAATGCGTGGGAATGAGAGAGAAACATCAGAGGCAGTCGTTTAGTTTGTCACCGAACTTCCTTTCTCAATTGCCGAGCGTGACAGAATCACTGACAAAAGAGGGTGAGATTTCAGCAACAGGTGAGTTGGCTAGTTGTGACGCCAGCCTTAAATGCATGGCAGGAATAGGTGAAGAGCTGGTGTTGTTGTGACTGAAGATTAGTAGTGAAAGAGCTGTGATTTCTACTTCATTGTGACCACTACTCGGGCCCAGATCAGTGCTGCTGAACGCCTTAAAGAGACAGCAGCGCACAGGTTTAGTCAGTTTGCTTGATCCCTGACCTATCACACTCACCGTTCTCTTGAGGGTCCGGAAGGAAGAGATTCGGGGTTTGACTGTCTTATTGATTTCCTTCAAACAGTACGACAGGGGGTCCCGGCCAAACTTGGGGGAGGGGGGTCCGTTAGCGGGCGAGGGGGTGGGGGGTGTGGAGAAAGGACTGAGTGAAGACGAGGGCAGCTGGGACAGACACCAGGCACAAACCCAGAGGGACACAGGGACAGAACAGAAGGAGAGGGATGGTGGGAAGGATAGGGAAGGGTAAAAACAAACAAAAAACACAAATGACAAGGGAAAAGAAAGAGACACCATCAAACACCTCAAAGCAACATCAAAACAGCAACGAGGACAACACTGGACCAACCTCAGCAAGAGCCAAGACAAGCAAGACAAAGAATAACCAAACCCAAATCCACAAGCCCCAACAACCAGATGAAGAAGCAAACAATGGCTCCATCAGAAAACAATTCTTGGCCTTGTTCAATGGATCATGTGGCTTTCAAGTGATGTTGTAATGATCGTGAAGATGAGATGAATGTACATGAATGGCACCACAAAACTTTTCAAGTTAAGGTCATGCCAATTACACTACCATGGTGATGCTAATTGATATGTGTCATAATTAAGTTTGTATAAACTTTGTGTACCGTTGATGAATACCAGTTATAAAGCTTTCCAAAAAAAATTGAGGTGGCAGGATTGCGTGGTGGACAACCCATCGTTACCAAAACTACCAAAAAAATTCCCAACAGTCTCATGGCAGCACAAAAATGATAAATTAAGGCATAAATTACATGCCTATTGGGAATCCACTGATCTTCATTTCATTGTGCTAGTGCTACAAAGTTTCCGGTGTTTGTCAGAAAAAAATTACAGAGAAATTACACCAAAATATCCAATTAATTCCAACCAAAAATCACTTGAACGCACATCATATTGAATTAACAATAGCCAAACTTATAAGATATTCCCAAGAGAATGTGTGCTGTTCGCAGAGTAAGAATCGTCAAATGTAAACAATCTCCAAAACAGAGCTGCTATTACGTTTTATTCCCCACCCCATTATGGATCTAATAAGTGGAGCCACTTTTTGCCCAATCAACATTCAGAGGCTTCTGCTGGACTACATTGCAACATAAATGCCTGAACATGAAAGGAGTCCTAATATTTCAGTGAATTCGCTATGTATACTAGCTCTGTTCCAGAACCAAGCGAGCTGTCTACAGAGACAACCTTACAGCTGAATCAACAGTTAGCATTAGCTAAATTACTAGTTATTCTAATAAGCACAAAGAGTATTTGAAGAACACAAGTAACTGATGCTCAAAGCTTCATATCTGTCATTAGCTGGTTGCTAAGCTAAAAACTTCCTATCCTAACACAAAAAAACACTACACTAATACTGGATGAAATCATGCATTAATTAGATGGAATTATCTATTATTAAATATATATATATATATATTTCATTCTGGGATTATTGTTGTAGAATAAATGTGATGCTGCTTTCAATCATGACCAAAATTACACATCTTACATGGCAGCATAATATTGTTCCCTACTGTTTAGGATAGCTTTTACATTGGGTGCCTATAACACTGTAGGTGGGCAGCTTACTAAGTGGAACAGAGTAAATACGTTTCACCCTGATACAAGACAAAAAAGCTTTAAATCTAAAATTGTGCCAAACAATCCACCACAAATTTATGGGTAAATGAATGAAAGCTTGGCGCTAAAAATAAGTATTTCCCCACAAACTGGTTTTAGCTTCTCAACATTGTGACTTGTCTCAGCCGGAAAGGAAACATGCACAGTGAGCAAAAAGTGAAGCAATAAGGAATGAAGGAAGATGTTTGATCTTAACTACTAAGAGTAGGGGAAAAAGGAAGCAGATTTGCAGTTCGACTTTGGTAAATACAACA